CATTGCTCTACCACCAGATTTAAATATCTAATTCAAGGTGCCAACTTTCTTCTTTGGATTTTATGTTCCCAAAATGTCACAGAGCAGTTAATTTTACCATTTGCAGAGCGTGATGCATTTTTAACAGCCATTCTTTTTTGGCGGGAGGGGAGTCTTCCAATGCCTAGCAAAAATAATTCTTGCCACTGTCCACAAATCTGACACCTGCATTTGTATCTCGTGGGGAGCCAGCTTCTGGTGGGTCGCCGTGTGGGTCTCAAAGCAACAGAATGAAGTTGGAGTCCAGTGGCACTTTGAAGAAAAACAAAGTTTGATTCCTGGTACAAGGTTCCGTGTAGATGAAAGAAGTGTGCACGCATTTGTAGAAAGAATCCTTTCTACAAATCAATGATACACTTTTGAAACTTGAGCCTGAAACATTATTTGGCTTAAACCTAAGATAATATCTGAAGTTACTTTCGGAACCGTGTTTTAAAATCTGCCTGTAAATATATGTATTTATTATACGATTGTTGCCTTAAGAGATGTCTTGTAGTATGTAGAAGAAGATGAAGAAGAGATTGGATTGATACCCCGCCCTTCACTACCCAAGGGAGTCTCAGAGCGGCTTATGAACTCCTTTCCCTTCCCCTCCCCACAACAGACACCGTGAGGTAGGTGGGGCTGAGAGAGCTCTGACAGAAACTGCTCTTTTTCAAGAACAGCTCTTATCAGAGCTACGGCTTGCCCAAGGTCATCCAGCAGCTGCAAGTGGAGGAGTGGAGAATCAAACCCGGTTCTCCCAGATTAGAGTCCGCACACTTAACCACTACACCAAACTGTAATACAGTTCTTTGGCGTCTTCAGCCTGGATGCAGTTAAGCATTAATGTTTGTTCTACCCTATTTTTGTACTTCACCTGCAGACGTCTATTGTACTTACCTTGTGGTTGTTATTATATTGTTAAATAAAAATAATAAATTTTTAAAAAAGTGTGCATGCACACAAAAGCTTATTCCTAGGATGAAACTTTATGGGTCGCCGGAGTTTGCTTGCAGAGGGGAGGGGGAAGGAGGAATGCTCTAAGCTGTAGAGTCTTGTGAGCAAAAATTCTAACTTTGTGAGCTCCTGGCATTAAAGTTGTCATCAAGCGATTTGACTGCTGCATAAATGAGTCTGCTCTGGAGCCCTCCTTCCTGAGATGAGACAAAAATGCGTGAGCCGAAGGCTAAGAAACAGTGAGCTGGCTCACACTAACTCGGCTTAGAGGGAACACTGGTGTGGACACAAGCCTGGCAACCGGCCGGGCTTGCCCGCACGGTGGTGAAGCGTGACATCTGAACACAGACCACCATTTGCCCTCCCCTCCTCCCACCCACCTCCTATCATCAATCACTTCTTGAGCCTGAATGCTAGATTCCTGGGGACAATCTGCTCGCAGTAGGCATCAAAAATGTATTTATTTATTTGTTTAAATTTATAACCCGCCCTCCCCGTGAACGGGCTCAGGGCGGCGTACAGATGGGGCCAATGCCCAATACATAAAACATTAAAACTGCATTTTAAAAACATTAAGTACAACATAAGTGCTCTCCACAACAACTAACAAGGGAACAGACGACGTCATCAGGATGGTATCCTTAGTGGCCAGAGCTCCACGCAGTACCACCAACTTTGCGCTCACGGCGAGTTGGTAATAAGGGCTGGGACAGATAGTAATAGTTGTAGACAGATGGTAACAGTCGTGGCGGCTCCTACTCAAACGCCTGGCGGAAGAGATCTGTCTTGCAGGCCCTGCGGAACTGTGCAAGGTCCCGCAGGGCCTGGATCTCCTCTGGGAGCTCATTCCACCAGGTAGGAGCCGCCACCGAAAAAGCCCTGGCCCTAGTCGCCGCTAGTCTGGCCTCTTTGGGACCTGGAACCACCAGGAGATGTTTAGTCCCAGACCGTAGTGCTCGTTGGGGAACATAACGACGGTGCTAAAATGGTGCTAAAAAAGAATACCAAAGTGGCAAATCTGTTACAATGGTGTGCAGCAGCCAGATCAAACACAGCTGCACAGATTATTTAGCATGCCAGCTGCAGGAAACAAGGCGCAGCTACAAACCGAGGACTGCCACAGTACTTTAACCGTATGTTTAAATACCAGTGATCTGAATAATAAGAAGAGAAGAGTCTGGATTTCTACCCCACCCTTCACTACCCAAGGGAGTCTCAGAGCGGCTTACAATCTCCTTTCCCTTCCCCTCCCCACAACAGACACCCTGTGAGGTGGGTGGGGCTGAGAGAGCTCTTGACAGAAACTGCTCTTTTTCAAGGACAGCGCTTGTCAGAACTATGACTTGCCCAAGGTCATCCAGCAGGTGCAAGTGGAGGAGTGGGGAATCAAACCCGGTTCTCCCAGATTAGAGTCCGCGCACTTAACCACGACACCAAACAGGCTCTCAAACTGGCTCTCATAAGGTTTAGGCATGGCTGACGGCCACGCTGGAACACACCCTTCACACGTCCAGAAACGTAAAAATCAGTCGCTTAAGTTTCTGGCAACCAAAATTGTACTCACTTGTAGCCATGACGCCCGGAGGACAGGCCGGGATTCCATGGTCGACCGCCCACCGGAAAGCTCCTTCGCCAACTAAAAAACTAAGCAGACGAGAAGGAGTAGGAAAGAGCATTTAAAACCAGTCCCTTTTTTCACTCAGAACATTTTTTTAAAATTTAATTGCAAGTCATTTGTTTTATGAAAGGAAGTACTTATAAAAATGGAACATGGCGGGGAGATTTCATCCTGCAACTGAGGCAGAGCGGTAGGAAACCACACCACGCATAATACGGTTTACGAGTCTGAGTTAAATGGATAATCCAGGACTTGGAAAAGAGGACCGTCGCACCTTTCGACTCGGGAAGAGGAGCTGGATGCCTGCCTGCCTTTATAAAAGGCTTAAGAAAGTCAAGCAGGCACTGGGGCCTGATTACAATAAAAGAAACAGATCCTAATTAACTCCTTCTCAGAACACATAGGAGAAATGACTTCTTAGTAATTCTCAAAACTAACAAGTTTTCCTTTTAGCTCCAACACCAAGGTCAATCCTGTACTTCCGAGACACACTGGTGCTTTCTTGTAGGACACAAAAGATTGAGTTCCGCCACTAAAACTGGTCAGAAGGAGACTCTAAGAGAAAGCAAGCCAATTTCCGTGAATCACGTTCATAATCGGCAGTATTGATTTATTTCTGCAGGATGTGATAACCATCGGTGGAAATGACATTAGGGAACTACTGGATATAGTTCCAGGGGGCGGCCTACCTTAGACACCATCAAAAACTTTGGGAGAATCGAAGCTCTTTGGTAACTGACGATGGGAGTTTGGACTCTTGAAAGTTTAAACCCTGAAAAAATTGTGGGTCCCTAAAGTGCTACAACTAGGAGCTGCGGTGGCTCAAGTGGTTAAGACGCTGAACTGCAGGCTGTGGAAGGTCGGTAGTTCAGCAGTTCGAGACCCGGGTGCCACATGACGGAGTGAGCTCCCGTCTCTAGTTCCAGCTCCTGCCAACCTAGCAGTTCGAAAGCAAGAAATTGCAAGTAGATCAATAGGTACCACTTCGGCGGGAAGGTAACAGCGTTCCGTGCGCCTCGGTGTTTAGTCATGCCTGCCACATGATCACGGAAACATCTTCAGACAGCGCTGGCTCTTCGGCTTTGAAACGGAGATGAGCACCGCAACCCTAGAGTCGGATTCAACTGGCTTTCGAGCAAGGGAACCTTTACCTTTTACAAAGTGCTACAGGACTGGAACCCAGCTGTTCTCCTGGATATCACAGAATCATAGAATCACGGACTTGGAAGGGGCCAGACAGGCCATCTAGTCCAACCCCCTGCTCAATGCAGGATCAGCCACCCTAGAGCATCCCTGACAAGTTTTTGTCCGGCTGCTACTGAAAGACTCCCAGGGAGGGGGAGCTCACCACCTCCCCAGGCAGCTGATTCCACTTTGGCACAACTCTGTCAAAAAAGTTTTCCCTGATATCCAACCGGTACCTTCCCACCCTTAGTTTAAACCCATGATTGCGAGTATTCTCCTCTGCTGCCAACAAGAACAGCTCCCTGCCCTCCTCTAGGAGGAAGGGCGTCTTCACCCAAAGAGTAATAGCACGTGGGATTCACTGCCGCAAGAAGTGGTGGCGGCGACAAGCACAGAGAGCTTCAAAAGGGGATTGGGTCAACGTATGAAGCAGAGGTCCATGAGTGGCTATTAGACACCAGGAATAGAAAGAACACTCTGTCTGGGGCAAGTGATGCTCTGTCTTCTTGGTCCTTGGGGGGCAACAGTGGGGGGGCTTCTGGAGTTCTGGCCCGCTGGTGGACCTCCTGATGGCACCTGGGCTCTGGCCACTGCACAACACAGAGTGGTGGACTGGATGGGCCACTGTCCTGATCCAACATGGCTTCTCTTATGTTCTTGTGTCCGGGGCAGTGATGCTTTGTATTCTTGGGCGCTTGGGGGGGGCAACAGTGGGAGGGCTTCTGGAGTTCTGGCCCCACTGCTGTACCTCCTGATGGCACCTGGGGTTTGGCCACTGTGTGACACAGAGTGTTGGACTGGATGGGCTTTTAGCAGGAAGATTTAAGAAAATCCCCTACTCTGTTAGGTTTTGTGATTGTGATTCAGAGGAGATTGAAACAATCGAACACGTATTCCTCCACTGTAGTTTGTATGATGACATTCGGGCAGTCTATCTAGAAGCCATACTTAAGAAAGATGTCAAACAATCAGATGACAGAATGTTGTACCGTTTATTGGCTTCACAAAATACAGTGGTTATTGAAGCGGTGGCTAATTTCTGTAACTGCCTTATAATGAGGAAGTTATGTGTTTAATCAATGAACTGAAGGGTGACTGTTTATGACTCTGATCCATGCCAATAAAGGTTTTGAATTGAATTGACTGGATGGGCCACTGTCCTGATCTAACATGGCTTCTCTTATGTTCTTGTGTCCGGGGCAGTGATGCTCTGTATTCTTGGGCGCTTAGGGGGGGAACAGTGGGAGGGCTTCTGGAGTCCTGGCCCCGCTGGTGAACCTCCTGATGGCCCCTGGGTTTTGGCCACTGTGTGACACAGAGTGTTGGACTGGATGGGCCACTGGCCTGATCCAACATGGCTTCTCTTATGTCATGTCTGGGGCAGTGATGCTCTGTATTCTTGGGCGCTTGGGGGGGCAAGAGTGGGAGGGCTTCTGGAGTCCTGGCCCCGCTGGTGGACCTCCTGATGGCACCTGGGTTTTGGCCACTGTGTGACACAGAGTGTTGGACCAAATGGGCCACTGGCCTGATCCAACATGGCTTCTCTTATGTTCTTACTGGGTGGAGCAGGTAAAAATGTGTTGGCTGGTGGGTGGGAAGGACAGAAGGAAATAGGGAAAAGGGGAGAAGCTATGGGGTCTTTTTGGGAAGGGAAAGGAAAAATAGTGGGGGGCGGAGGTCCCCGTAGGTCCCTTCTTTATCCCAGCCCCTGTCCCGCATGTCTTTTGTCCAGGCAGGTCTCGTCATCCCTGGCATCGTCAAGAGGACAGCCTCCTCTGTTCTCCACCCGTGCAAAAGCCGTCTGGATCCAGCCCATTACTCGAAGTAGAAAGAGAGTACAAATGGAACATTTCTCAACAACAACTTTATGTTTAGCTCTGAAGTCTGATTTATCAGACTTTTGTAGTTCCGGCCAAAACATCAGAAATAAAAGCTTAGCGGGAACGTAAATATTTATACAAACAACCACAAAGAAAGAAGCCCAAACGCCACTGAAGACATCTTTTTATCCTCAATATCCCGTCTATTTATATCTGCAATTAAGTGCACAAGATGTTCCGAGCTCAGTGAACAAAGCCTGTCCTTCCCCCTTAAAAGCACGGTGGGACCGATCAGCGACCGAGTAGCACCAGGCTCCTTCTGATAAGACCAGAAGGTTAAAAGGAAAAACAATTTAACAAAAGGTCAGAAGGAAAAAAAAACACAATAAAGCGATTACCAAGGTGGAATTCGGCCAGCGGAGAGTTTCCCCTTCTGCCCCTCGCACAGCAGTCTGTTTGCAACGGAAACGGGATTCTTGATTCCTGAAAAGAGGGAAAGCTATTTAGGAAGCCTGCGACACTGTACAACGTCTGCAGGAAACTGGTAGTAGCACCATCACTGAATTTAAGGAAAGGTTCTGAATTTTAAGGAAAGGTTCTGAATTTTAAGGAAAGGTTGTGAATTTTAAGGAAAGGTTCTGAATTTTAAGGAAAGGTTCTGAATTTTAAGGAAAGGTTTTGAATTTTAAGGAAAGGTTCTGAATTTTAAGGAAAGGTTCTGCGACACTGTACAAAGCCAGCAGAAAACTGGTAGTAGCACCATCACTGAACTTAAGAAAAGGTTCTGAGCGGTGGCTCAAGTGGTTAAGACGCTGAGCTGCAGACCGGAAGGTCATTAGCTCGGCAGTTCGAGACCCGAGTGCCGCGTGACGGAGTGAGCTCCCGTCTCTGGCCCCAGCTCCTGCCAACCGCGCAGTTTGAAAGCAAGAAACTGCAAGTAGATAAATAGGTATTGCTTTGGGGGGAAGGTGACAGCGTTCCGTGCGCCTCGGTGTTAAGTCATGTCAGCCACATGACCACAGAGAAGTCTTCGGACAGCGCTGGCTCTTCGGCTTGGAAGCGGAGATGAGCACCGCCCCCTGGATTCGACTGGCTTTCGAGCAAGGGAAACCTTTACCTTTTTACCTTTTATCCGCTCTTTCTAGGACAGTGGACCTGGCAAGGAGACCTTTCGCCACCAGCTCTTTTATACGTAAAAAGGTCACTTTCAGTATGGCATGAACAAAGCAGTTCAGGTATGCACGCCGATGATGATGCTCTGATGTAGGTGAAGCTGGTGGCTTCAATAAGAGGAGGCCTACCAGGATTGCTGAGTCTTCCCTGGCCACCAGCGGGGGATAGGAGGGGCAGGGTTGCTAGCTCCAGTTTGGGAAACTGCTTGAGATTTGGGGATGGACCCTGGGGAGGACTGGGACCTCAGTGGGGGACGATGCCATAGACTCCACCCTCCAAAGCACCCACTTTCTCCAAGGGGAACTGAGCTCTGTAACCTGGAGGTCAACGGTAATTCCGGGGGATCCCCAGGTCCCACCTGGAGGCTCAACAAACACGTGGGAAACGCGGCAAAGTTAGACAAACGTAAAGAAACACCGCGTTAGAACAAAACACACTCAACTAATATGCACTTGTGTCTTCATATACCGAATTGAATACAATAGAGACCCTAGTGTATCTTATAGTAAAGGTAAAGGTCTCCCTTGCTCGAAAGCCAGTCGAATCCGACTCTAGGGTTGCGGTGCTCATCTCCGTTTCAAAGCCGAAGAGCCAGCGCTGTCCGAAGACGTTTCCGTGGTCACGTGGCCGGCATGACTAAACACCAAGGCGCACGGAACGCTGTTACCTTCCCACCAAAGTGGTACCTATTTATCTACTTGCAATTTCTTGCTTTCGAACTGCTAGGTTGGCAGGAGCTGGAACTAGAGACGGGAGCTCACTCCATCATGCGTCACACCCGGGTCTCGAACTACTGACCTTCCACAGCCCGGAGTTCACTGTCTTAACCACTTGAGCCACCGCAGCTCCCAGTGTATCTTATACACATTCATTAAAAAATAGAATACATTATAATACAAAAATGCTTTGATCCTCGCTGAATCACTTTTTGTGGAAAACGTTTAACAGCCTGCTGCATCTCTCATGCTTGCTTTGATGCTTGCTGAATCACTGTTTTGTGGAGAACATAACAGCCTGCTGCATTTCTCATCGTTTACGACTGTTGCGACCTTCATCAGTCTCTTATCAGGAGCAAAATCGTCTACAGCACTGGAATAGGTGTCTGCAGCTGTGGGCTCTTCTATTAGTAGATATATGGTGTTCTTTAGGTTTTTGTATTATAATGAATATGTATAAGAGACACTAGGGCAGTGGTGGCAAACCTATGGCACGGGTGCCAGAGGTGGCACTCAGAGCCCTCTCTGTGGGCACGCGTGCCATCGCCCCAGCCAGGCCCAGACCATCATTAAAGTGTCGCATTCTCTGCCAAATAATGTTAAGTCAATGAAAGCATTTGGGATTGCTTTCCTTACTTTGTTTGGATCATCTTAAGTTAATGCCTGAGTTGTTTTTTCTAAAGTAAAACCTCAGTATTCAGGTTAAATTGCCGTGTTGGCACTTTGCGATAAATGTGGGTTTTGGGTCGCAGTTTGGGCACTCGATCTCTAAAAAGTTCGCCATCACTGCACTAGGGTCTCTATTGTATTCAAATCAATATATGAAGACACAAGTGCATATTAGTCGTGTGCGCTTTGTTCTAACACAGTGTTACTTTACATTTGCCCACCTGGAGGTGGGCATGCCTACGTCCTACAGGCTATCAAGACATTTATTACGGCTGAAACGATAAATGGTGGCCAGAACAGAATAGAGAGAAGGGTCTGATTTAGAGGACTGAGCTGAGCGTATTTAGAAACTCATCAGACAAAGTTTAGGGGAAGAAAAATGGAAGAGACTGAAAGGAGCTGGAATAAATGCATAACTTACTTGAACGAAATGTTTAATCAGAATACAGCAAAGTAAACTGCACTGTTCTGAAGACATGAGGTAGCTTTAAAACTTCCCGCAAAATTATTGTTTTGCACATTTCACATGCTGTTCGGAACACCACCGAATATTTTCAGAAAACTAACAGGGCTACGATTTTTCAAAGATGTGCAAATAACTACCATATGATGCCTTACGTGACGGTGTCCCAGGAGACAGAAGTATACTCTGGACATTGGACGTTTGGTTTGGGGCATTTGAGCTCAATTTCCCCAGTCTGTGCAGTGAAAGTGACTTCATAAAGGTTTAAGAATGATTGAGGAGGAAAAAACTCACCAGTACGGCAGGCCAGCAGTGTACTATTAAGGATATGATCCAATTACCAATAAGTATGGGGGGGAAATGTTTTTTTGGTTCCCGGTTTTTCAATCAGCATCTCAAAATCAGCTATACTGTACCTTTCCAATTTAGAAAAGCCAAATTCATTCAGACTAGAACAGATGCTAAAGAAATTGGGGCACAAAGTTCAAGAATGAAATAGCTGGAAGGGTGTTGGCAAAGTAAGGACGGTAAAGGTTCAAGAAGACATAGCGCTGGATGCCACGATTCATTTCAGCGATGTGGGATCCTATGGCCCCTTTCCACCAGTGCTCCCTCTAAGCTGAGTTAGTGTGAGCTAGCTCACGGTTTTTTAGCCTCTGGTTCACAAATTTTTGTCCTCGCTCAGGAAGGAGGGCTCCAGAGCAGACTGGTTTATGCAGTAGCCAAATCGCTCGCTCACAACTTTAATGTCAGTAGCTCACAAAGTAGGATTTTTGCTCACGAGCCTCCAGAGCTTAGAGGGAGCACTGCTTTCTGCCATCAGAGCATGAGAGACTTTCCTTCAACAAAGACTTTTCTTCATCAGAGGAAGTCTTTCTCCATCGGAAAAAGTCATTCTCCATTGGAGGGCCTTTTCCCTTGAAATGAGACTTAACGGAAAGCCGTCATAAGGGTAATGGAATCCAGCCCATGGGCTTCTATTTACACGGTACATAAAAGGCATGCGCTCGCTCTGAACTGCGTCATACCCCTCTAAGGAGATCTGAGATACGGCCGCACACCATTTCTGATAGCATTTCAACCAGCTGTGAATCGAAGAACAGACTTTTAAAATGCCACCTTCAGTTTCAACGTTCTGCTTTTCAGAGCTGGATCAACGTACCACTGAGCGCTCCGACGGCTCCAAAATTGAGCGATTTCCCGTCCATGATACTAGCGTCACATTCTATCTCGCCCAGAAGGTTCAGGTTAGATCCCATTCCTGCATTTGTAAAGGGTGAATCCTACAAAGAAATGTTTTAAAAAAAATTAAGATAAAGACCAAACATCCACAATCACAACAGCCAGGGGTCATTTCCTGCAGGAGCGCACAGGAGCGGAGCTCCGGCATTAAAGAGCCCAGGGGGCAGGCACATGCAACAAGCCCCACCCCCTGCTTCCAGCAGGCCTCAGTCAGAGGAAGAAGCAGCCAGGTAAGCTGCAGAGCCCCCCCCCCAGCCCCCCGGTCCAAAGCTGTCCAGGGGCACCTTTAAGACCACGTTTTATTCAGGTACAAGCTCTCCCTCCTCTGTGAGGACAGATCTGCACGCCCCCCCCCAATAGCTAGGAATCCAAAACAGTCCAGTGGAGCCTGAGCGGTGGGTGTTGCCTTCTGACACAGTTCCAGTGATGTCAGGGGGTGTGGCATATGCAAATAAGTTATGAGTTATGCTAATGAGCCCCTGCACCTCTTTTTCTACGACATGACCCCTGACAACAGCATAGAACAAGAGTCAAGCAATGAGCGTCTGGGCGACGCTGAAATACACCCCTCCGACCACCATCTGCAACTCCCCACAGGAAATGAGAACGGCCACAGAAGAGGAGCAGGAAGACGGAAGAGAAAAGCACTGAAGGTACAGAAAACGATAAGGGTGAGAAGCTGCAACTGTGCTCGTGGTCACGGAAAAGAACAGGAGGGAGTAAACTGCTTTCCACCGGACCTCTCGGAGTCTATCTTTATTTTATTTATCAGTCCATCTAGGTCCTTTCTGCACTTGGATCTCACCCCTGGTTTCGTCAGAGTTCAGCTCGTGACACAGGACCTTGCATTTATCCCTGGTTATAACAGCATCTGCTTATCCCGGGACAAATGTAGGGCAAAACCTGGGTGACCTCGATGTAGTCTGGAAACAAGAAAATACCCTGAGATAATTACAGGGGTGAACTCAAGTGTGGTGTAGAATGTAAGTTCGGGGACAGGGTTGAACCAGGATTTAAGGTCTCGTGCAGAATCACCCCTAGTCCAGCATCCAGTCCCACAAAGGGACCAACCAGTTCCTCCAGAGGGCCAACAACAGGGCTTAGAGGCCGAGGCCTTCCCCTGATGTCAAGAGCCCTGCTGGATCAGACCACTGAGGGTCCATCTAGTCCAGCATCCTGTCTCACACAGGGGCCAACCGGTTCCTCTGGAGGGCCAGCAACAGGACCTAGAGACCGAAGCCTTCCCCAAGGTCAAGAACACAAGAAGAGCCCTGCTGGACCAGGCCAGTGGTTCCTCTAGACCAGCATCGTGTCTCAAACAGGGGCCAAGCAGTTCCTCTGGATGGCCAAGAACAGGGCAGAGAGACCGAGGCCCTCCCCAAGGTCAAGAACACAAGAAGAGCCCTGCTGGACCAGACCAGTGGTTCCTCTAGACCAGCATCGTGTCTCACACAGGGGCCAAGCAGTTTCTCTGGATGGCCAAGAACAGGGCAGAGAGACTGAGGCCCTCCCCTGACGTTGCCTCCTGTCTGTGGGATTCAGAGGTTTATTGCACCGGGATGTGGAGGTTCCCCTCAGTCACCCTGGTTAGTAACCATTGATAGACCCAGGGCTTTTTTTGTAGAAAAAGCCCATCAGGAACTCATTAGCATAACAGGCCACACCCAACAGCAGAAACTCATTAGCATATTAGGCACAGATCAATCGCATAATAGGCCATGCCCCCATGCCTTCCCTTGGCTTGCCCGGGTGCCCTGTGGCTGCGAGGATCCTGGGCAAGCCCCCCCTTGAAGGGAAGGGAAGGCAGTTTAAACTCAAGAAGGGGTGGGAACCAGTGTTCCCTCTAAGCTGAGTTAGTGTGAGCCAGCTCACAGTTTTTTAGCCTCTGGCTCACACATTTTTGCCTTTGCTCAGGAAAGGACGGCTCCAGAGCAACCTAATTTATGCAGTGGCCAAATCGTTCACTCGCTGCTTTCATGCCAGCAGCTCACAAAGTAGAATTTTTACTCACAAGACTCCACAGCTTAGAGGGAGCGTTGGTGGGAACCAGCGTTCCCGCTAAGCTGAGTGAATGTGAGCTAGCTCACAATTTTTTAGCCTCTGGCTCACACATTTTGGCCTTCGCTCAGAAAGATTGGTTCCAGAGCAAACTAACTTATGCAGCAGCCAAATGGCTCGCTCACAACTTTAATGGCAGGAGCTCACAAAGTGGAATTTCTGCTCACCAGACTCCACAGCTTAGAGGGAGCGTTGGTGGGAACCCCTGCTCTAGTGCCATTGTAGCTGCATGGCTGATCTCCTAACCCAAGCTCAGTCACCTGGAGTTGATGCTCAAGGCATAATTGTTAGAAGGGGTCAGGGGACAAAATGTGTAACACAAGGTATAGACCTGTTCATAAGGCATTTTTGTCAGTCCCCCAGAGATCCTAAAAGCCGACTACTTTGATACGGAATAAAACTGTGGCATTGTAAAAAGGCTGTGTTTCCTTTGCGGAACCCGAGAGGATGGCTTGCCATTTAACTGTCTGTTTGGGTAGAAAGTTAAGCCGTCCCAGACAGTGTTCCCACTAAGCTGAGTTAGTGTGAGCTAGCTCACAGTTTTTTAGCCTCCGGCTCACACATTTTTGTCTCAGCCCAGGAAGGAGGGCTCCAGAGCAAACTGGAGCTCCAGAGCAAACTGATTTCTGCAGTAGCCAAATTGCTCACTCACAACTTTAATGCTGGCAGCTCACAGAGTAGAATTTTTGCTCACAGACTCCACAGCTTAGAGGGAACATTGGCTCCCAGACTCTTGCAGAACTTGACGGCAGATGGTATTTTTTGCACCCGCGTGCAAAAGCCGAAACAGCTCAGGAATCCGGATCATCCGCCCACCCGCATACCTTGCACAGGGCTGATCAATCTCCAAAGCCTGCCGTTCAGAGCAAGAGACTGAAGTTAGTGCGACAAGGGAAGTAGTTAATAACTGCAAAAGGGAACAGGTTGTTTTGTTTTGCTTCAGTTTTGGTGGAGCCCTGCTCTGTTAACTGTCCTTCCGCACTGTGCTGGAACCAAAACCACCTGAGCAACTCAAAAGACTCCGTGTGACAGAACTGGGCACAGAACTGGGTTTTAAGCTGTTTTCCCTCATCAGCCTCAATGAATCAGCTTCTTTCTCCCTGGCTGCTCTTTTCACCCCCAGCAGAGCCTAGTCTCTGTGGACTGGCCTTTTCTACTTAGAACAGAAGAGAAGCCAATGTTGGATCAGGCCAGTGGCCCATCCAGTCCAACACTCTGTGTCACACAGTGGCCAGAAATACCAGGTGCCATTAGGAGGTCCAGCAGTGGGGCCAGGACATTAGAAGCCCTCCTACAGCCTCCCCCAGCAGAGGGCTGGCAGCAGCTATTCAAATGCACCCAGGCACTCAATCACATGCAAAACAATGCCCCTTCCTTTTCCTCTCAATTGCAGTCAATCACAGTCAAACAATGCCCTTTCCTCTCTCAAGCAGCCAGGAATCTGCAAAAACTCCAAGCGCTTCCACACACTCCCAGACCAGTTCTCCCACCAAAATCCTCAGCTGGATCCTCTCCGCTGAAAGCAAATAAAAAACCACTCACCCCTCTGTCTCCTGCTCCTGCTCCTGCTCAGAGCTCAGCTGGGTCTCCCTTGGGCAAGCCATAGTTCTGGCACAGCTGTCCTTGGAAAAGAGCCATTTCTGTCAGTGCTCTCTCAGTCCCACCTACCTCACAGGGAGTCTGTTGTGGGGAGGGGCATGGAGAGGAGTTTGTAAGCCGCTCTGAGATTCCAAGTGAAGGGCGGGGTATAAATCCAATCTCTTCTTCCTCTCTTCTCCTGAAGAGTCCTAATCTCTTCAACCTCTATATTGAGTGTGCCAACCACTAAAAAGGCCTTCTGGGAACCAGATCAGAATGTCTCCACTTTTGACAAATGGAGTGGCAGGTCCCTTGGTAGTGGAGGAAATGGCTGTCTAGTTGCAACCAGCTGACAGTGACCCCCAGTGTTCCCTCTAAACTAGGTTAGTGTGAGCCAGCTCACAGTTTTTTAGCCTCTGGCTCAGACATTTTTGTCTCAGCTCAGGAAGGATGCCTCTAGAGCAAACTAATGTATGCAGTGGCCAAATCGTTTGCTCACCACTTTAATGCCAGGAGCTCACAAAGTAGGATTCTTGCTCACAGGACCCCACAGCTTAGAGGGAGCGCTGGTGACCCCGCAGGGTTTTCAAGGCACGGGATGTTCAGAGATGTTTTGCCATTGCCTGCCTCTATAGAGCAGCCCTGGGCTTCCTTGGTGGTCTCCCATCCAAGGACTAACCACAGTCAGCCCTGCTTAGGCTGGGTGGCAGGCCAACTACACTCAACCAGACAGAATCATCTGGGATTTTAAGAGCTCGGGTTTTGCTTGGAAGTCGCCGCGGTTTTATCACACGTGGGGAACACAAATGTTATAACACATCAGCTAGGCAACACAGGAGGAGAAAGGGGAGGACGAGAAGACGATGATGACGGAGGACGAGGAGGAGAACTGGTTTTTATACCCTGCCACAAGGAATCTCAAAGCGGCTTACCATCTCCTTCCCTGCCTCTCTGTACAACAGGCAGCTAGGGAGGTTGGTGGGGCCGAGAGAGTCCTGAGAGAACTGTGACCGGCCCAAGGTCACCCAGCAGGCTTCAAGTGGGGGATCAAACCTGGTTCTCCAGATTAGATAGTCCACGGCTCTTAACCACTATACCACGCTGGCTCTCCCTAAGAGGCAAGGGGCAAACAGCCCAAGACAGACACAAGAAACAGAGCCCTGGAAAGCTATGCTACTCTTTCTAAGCTTTGCGGATAATCAGAAGGAAGAAGTCAGCGGAGCAGACAAATGCACAGGTTATAAGGAATGGTTTCTGGTGCATCCCCGTGAGGTCAGATATCCGACCAAGTGAGCTCCGACGCCCGAAGTTTATAATCTGGAAAATTTCTGGGAAATTAAGGTGCTACTGTTATGTAACAGTTATAGGAGGTAACGAAACTCACTGTAATATGTTTTGGTTACTA